ATTAGGAGATTGGGTAACACTAGGTACAAAGCAAATTTAAAGCTCAGTGTAGGAAAACTAAGAAGATGAAGTTAGGTACTTTTTGGTTTTGCTTTTAAATATGCCATGGTTTTAAAAAACCATGCTCTGAAACTCTCCCTGGACAGATGTAATAGAACCCATTATCACCACACCAGAAATAAATATCTCTTTGATATCCCCAGGGTCAAACTTAATCTGTGTAAACACTCTATGCAAATTAAGGGACCTAGTCTATGGAACTCACTCCCTAGTGAATTGAAAAACTGTAACACTTTTGCCTTATTTAAAAGCAAAACCAAAAAGTACCTAACTTCATCTTCTTAGTTTCCTACACTGAGCTTTAAATTTGCTCTGTACCTAGTGTTACCTAATCTCCTGATTTTTATGTAATATCAAACAACCTTATCATTGTGTTCATTGCTGTCTTCTTTTATGTGCTAGCCATATGCTGTATTGTGACTACCAATTTTTGTCAACTACCATTCAAGCTGTCATTGCAATCAATCTTATATTGTTTCTGCTGTATTGTGCCTACCAATTTTTGTCAACTACCATTCAAGCTGTCATTGCAATCAATCTTATATTGTTTCTGCTGTATTGTGCCTACCAATTTTTGTCAACTACAATTCAAGCTGTCATTGCAATCAATCTTAGCTACCTATGTGCTTTAATATACTGTACCTACAATTTTCTCTCATCTTCTTTTTTTTCATTTCATGTAACTGTTATCATTTTTTTGTCTATAAATTTTGCAAGTATTTACCTCCTTAAAATTTTCTTAGATTAAGGACCTGCCCGAAACGCTGCGCGCGCTAGTGGCTTTACAAGACTGTAATTACCATATTTGTATCCTCACATTCCTTATGTACATTCTTGTATATGCATAAATAAATAAATAAATAAATAAATAAATTTGGTAGCACAACAAATTGTCGACAATCCTAGTGTTGAGGGTTTGAAAGCGGCAAAAAAGTCTATCCTAGTGGCTGTTGGCAAGCACTATGGACTATTATTGCACATGGGAATGGTGAAGACGGAACTGCTAAGAGAAATAATGATACACTGGGTAGATGAGCAAATTCTCCCACAGGAAATATTAGAGCAGTCCCCGTCCACCAGTGGTGCAAATGTTGTAACTACAGAAAAGGTAGAGACTCAGATGCAGTGGCAGGCAGAATTGGAACTAAAGAAGTTGCAGTTAAAGGCAGAGGTAAGCTCAGAAGAGGATAGAGGTAGAGCAAGCTCGAGAACTAGCTATGAAGATGTTAGAAATGGAGCTAGCTCAGAAAAAGATAGAGTTACAGATTAGGCCAACAGATTTGGGAATTAGATCAGAAAATACCGGTGTTGACGATTTAGGAACACCTGGGCAGTTAAAGATTCACAAAAGTTGAAAAAGTTAGGTTAGGTTAGGTTAGGTAGGTTAGGTAGTCGAAAAAACATTAATTCATGAAAACTTGGCTTATAAGGCAAATCGGGCCTTGCATAGTAGGCTGAGAAGTGCGTTCTGGCTACTAGGTACGACATATATATATATATATATATATATATATATATATATATATATATATATATATATATATATATATATATATATATATATATATATATATATATGAATGAAAACTCACACCCCAGAAGTGACTCGAACCCATACTCCCAGAAGCAACACAACTGGTAACTACAGGGCGCCTTAATCCGCTTGACCATCACGGCCGTCAAAAGGAAGTGATAGCCGAGGCTATTTGAGCCACTTCCCCGACGGCAACTCGGATGGTAATCTTGGGCATAGCATTTCACCAAATCACCTCATTCTTTGGGGCACACGTGAGGAACACAAATGCGAACAAGCCTGAATGGTCCCCAGGACTATATGCGAATGAAAACTCACACCCCAGAAGTGACTCGAACCCATACTCCCAGAAGCAACACAACTGGTAACTACAGGGCGCCTTAATCCGCTTGACCATCACGGCCGTCAAAAGGAAGTGATAGCCGAGGCTATTTGAGCCACTTCCCCGACGGCAACTCGGATGGTAATCTTGGGCATAGCATTTCACCAAATCACCTCATTCTTTAAGGCACACGTGAGGAACACAAATGCGAACAAGCCTGAATGGTCCCCAGGACTATATGCGAATGAAAACTCACACCCCAGAAGTGACTCGAACCCATACTCCCAGAAGCAACACAACTGGTAACTACAGGGCGCCTTAATCCGCTTGACCATCACGGCCGTCAAAAGGAAGTGATAGCCGAGGCTATTTGAGCCACTTCCCCGACGGCAACTCGGATGGTAATCTTGGGCATAGCATTTCACCAAATCACCTCATTCTTTGGGGCACACGTGAGGAACACAAATGCGAACAAGCCTGAATGGTCCCCAGGACTATATGCGAATGAAAACTCACACCCCAGAAGTGACTCGAACCCATACTCCCAGAAGCAACACAACTGGTAACTACAGGGCGCCTTAATCCGCTTGACCATCACGGCCGTCAAAAGGAAGTGATAGCCGAGGCTATTTGAGCCACTTCCCCGACGGCAACTCGGATGGTAATCTTGGGCATAGCATTTCACCAAATCACCTCATTCTTTGGGGCACACGTGAGGAACACAAATGCGAACAAGCCTGAATGGTCCCCAGGACTATATGCGAATGAAAACTCACACCCCAGAGGTTCGAGTCACTTCTGGGGTGTGAGTTTTCATTCGCATATAGTCCTGGGGACCATTCAGGCTTGTTCGCATTTGTGTTCCTCACGTGTGCCCCAAAGAATGAGGTGATTTGGTGAAATGCTATGCCCAAGATTACCATCCGAGTTGCCGTCGGGGAAGTGGCTCAAATAGCCTCGGCTATCACTTCCTTTTGACGGCCGTGATGGTCAAGCGGATTAAGGCGCCCTGTAGTTACCAGTTGTGTTGCTTCTGGGAGTATGGGTTCGAGTCACTTCTGGGGTGTGAGTTTTCATTCGCATATAGTCCTGGGGACCATTCAGGCTTGTTCGCATTTGTGTTCCTCACGTGTGCCCCAAAGAATGAGGTGATTTGGTGAAATGCTATGCCCAAGATTACCATCCGAGTTGCCGTCGGGGAAGTGGCTCAAATAGCCTCGGCTATCACTTCCTTTTGACGGCCGTGATGGTCAAGCGGATTAAGGCGCCCTGTAGTTACCAGTTGTGTTGCTTCTGGGAGTATGGGTTCGAGTCACTTCTGGGGTGTGAGTTTTCATTCGCATATAGTCCTGGGGACCATTCAGGCTTGTTCGCATTTGTGTTCCTCACGTGTGCCCCAAAGAATGAGGTGATTTGGTGAAATGCTATGCCCAAGATTACCATCCGAGTTGCCGTCGGGGAAGTGGCTCAAATAGCCTCGGCTATCACTTCCTTTTGACGGCCGTGATGGTCAAGCGGATTAAGGCGCCCTGTAGTTACCAGTTGTGTTGCTTCTGGGAGTATGGGTTCGAGTCACTTCTGGGGTGTGAGTTTTCATTCGCATATAGTCCTGGGGACCATTCAGGCTTGTTCGCATTTGTGTTCCTCACGTGTGCCCCAAAGAATGAGGTGATTTGGTGAAATGCTATGCCCAAGATTACCATCCGAGTTGCCGTCGGGGAAGTGGCTCAAATAGCCTCGGCTATCACTTCCTTTTGACGGCCGTGATGGTCAAGCGGATTAAGGCGCCCTGTAGTTACCAGTTGTGTTGCTTCTGGGAGTATGGGTTCGAGTCACTTCTGGGGTGTGAGTTTTCATTCGCATATAGTCCTGGGGACCATTCAGGCTTGTTCGCATATATATATATATATATATATATATATATATATATATATATATATATATATATATATATATATATATATATATATATATATATATATATATATATATATATATATATATATATATATATATATATATATATATATATATATATACCCCGTAATGTGCAAGGAGTCGATTTGTGAGAATATTGCAGAAATACAGTCCGCTTAAACCTCATACAAATTGCTATCGAAATATGTAAATTAACGTAAATATAAACACTATCTAAATTCATATAAATTATATAAATATAAATCTCACAGGTCGGTTCCCCCACAACTATTACTAGTACTAGTACCAGTAGGACTACTACTATTACTACTACTAGTATTATTGCTACTAGTATTATTACTACTACCGTTACTAATAGTACTACTTCTGTTACTAGTACTGGTACTAGTACTACTACTAGTACTGCTACTACTATTACTACTACTAGTACTACTACTAGTATTATTACTACTACTAGTACTACTACTACTACTACTACTACTATTTCGACTGCTGCAACCAGTTCCCCTACTACCATTACTACTATTGAAAGCATTAGAGGTGTCAAGTCAGGACTGTTGAGTACACTATAGTCCACTTAGGAAATGTTTAGGTCAAGAATAACGACAAGGAAATGCATGCTGAAATTGTTTTATTAAAAGATGTTGCTTAAGGTGATTATACATTTATTACCTCAGCCCGTCCTCCAAAAATGGGGAGGTTAATGTAACAGAACCATAAGTGCAATTATGTACTATGTATGACAGTCAGGAATTGTACTTATTTTCACTTAGTATTAAACCGTACTGTCAAATATATTGTGAATATTTGAGTTTACCTGAAAAGCTGAATAGAAAACCACGACCTAACCTAACCGTCTTAGTTTTGAAGATAAGCATTTTATTGCTTCCTAATTACAATTACTACTTAACCTATAGCTATATTGATATTACAGTTTTATAAAACAAATAAAACAAAACTAAAGCACCTATATTAATATGGGTTATTGCCTGATAACTTATTTTAGAGTAATTAGACGATAGAATGTAGAGATCTATCTCCTTTATTACAGACCTGGCTCAATGTGGCAGCTTTCCATCCTGTGGGATTCAAAGAACTACAGAAATAATTGATCTATTAACATAATTTTTTAATAGACCGTTGTGCCTTTCTTTATTTGTTTAAGTTCTTGAAAATATCTCAGAAAATAATAAAAAACTATTTCACTGCATTAGAAAATTCTGACCTCATTTTCTCAACAGAAATGTTAAGAGAATATTATCTATAGTAAATACATAGAGTTACGAAATGAATAAGATGTTAGTCTGTTAGAAGTAGTAGTAGGCATCCATCAGTCTCAGGAGACTATGACAGTTATGACAGTTATGGCATAACATTTCTCGAAGGAAATGGGCATTCACTTGGGGCTACGCACTCCATTGTCAGAACATTGAGAACGTGGGAGTTTATGCAAGTCATCAGTTCTGCAAGTTCACCAATTTGACTGCAGTAGAAATAATGTCGATCACAGGCTCTTTTACACTTAGGAAAATACCCAGTTTCTGAACATGTAAGTTCTTCGTAACAGCCATATAAGTTTTGGCAGTAGTAAGATGAACAGTCGGCAGAATTTGAACATTTCTGGTTGAGCTGGTCAAAATTGCCAGTTGGGCAGTGTCCGTGGTACGTCTCGTCTGCTATCCCAACGACATAACATATGTAGTAATTTGTGCAGTTAGCAGTGTCTGCAATCATGCTAACTGGATCAACGTCTTGTTCGGTGCACTCTGCTTTGCATGAACAACAGTTTTGTTGATCTGTCTGGCAAGTGAAACCATCAAAGTATGGAGCGTCTACACCACATATGTGTGTGCCTCCTATTATTCCGCCATTACCATCACATTCATAATATCTTGAACAATCACCTGGAAATGCTGCTCTGTTAATACAGCCAGGAGAACAACTAGTGCTGCACCTCTCACATGGTGGTGTACACATAGTTTGATTTGAACATACATTGTTTACTATATTAAAATCTTGTCCGTCAGGGCAGGCCACTGAATTTGGATTATAAGTTGTCGGTGAGGTGCACATATAATAATTATGACAATCGAGAGGGTCTGCAGTTTGATGTACTCCGGCATTGAATCCTTTACAGTCTATGAAACATTTCGCCGTCTGAGAGAATACCCAGCTCACCAATACCACCTGCAAATGGAAAAAAATCAAATTTAACTTGCATCATGATTTTTAAATGCTGAAAAATATTTGCATATATTTCATTCACTTTGTCCATCGGAGCCTTGAACCACATCGGGAGCCCGCAACTCCAACCACTACAACCACTGGCGTGTGTTATCATCCTGTGGGGTGTGTTATCATCCTGTGACGTGTGTTATCATCCTGTGGGGTGTGTTATCAGCCGGTGGCGTGTGTTATCATCATGTGACGTGTGTTATCATCCTGTGGGGTGTGTTATCAGCCTGTGGCGTGTGTTATCATCATGTGACGTGTGTTATCATCCTGTGGGGTGTGTTATCAGCCTGTGACGTGTGTTATCATCCTGTGGGGTGTGTTATCAGCCTGTGGCGTGTGTTGTCATCATGTGACGTGTGTTATCATCCTGTGGGGTGTGTTATCAGCCTGTGGCGTGTGTTATCAACCTGTGGCGTCTGTTATCATCACGTTGCGTCTCTTATCATCCTGTGGCGTCTGTTATCAGCCTGTGGCGCCTGTTATCAGCCTGTGGCGTGTGTTATCATCCTGTGGCGTCTGTTATCATCATGTGGCGTCTGTTATCATCCTGTGGCGTCTGTTTTCACCCTGTGGCGTCTGTTATCATCCTGTGGCTTTTGTTATCATCCTGTGGCGTCTGTTATCAGCCTCTGGCGTCTGTTGTTAACAAAGATAGTCACAACAAGTGTTGTATATATATATATATATATATATATATATATATATATATATATATATATATATATATATATATATATATATTCAAAGACTTTAGTCTTTGAAAAGAGGTCTGTACTCCAGAAATGGAGTACAGGCCTCTCCCAAGTGGCCTGTACTTGACATACCAGAAAACACTCTAAGGAAACTACTCCAAGCTTGTACTAAAGAGGCACCCTTCTTGAGCCCGGATGGGCACATGTATAAGCAAGTAGATGGGGTCGCCATGGGTTCTCCCCTAGGTGTCCTGTTTGCGAACTTCTACATGGGTACCATCCAACAAAAGGTCTTAGTCGACATGACCTTGAAACCAGCCATATACTGCAGGTATGTTGACGACATTTTTACACAGGTACCTGATGTCAGTCATCTGCAGAAGCTGAAGGAGGCATTTGAGCGGAATTCTGTGTTGCGCTTCACTTATGAGATGGAGAAGGATGGGAAGCTGCCCTTTCTAGATGTAACAGTCATGGAAAAGAGCGGAGGTTTCCACACTGCAGTCTACACTAAGGAAACAAACATAGGAATGTGCCTCAATGCCAACAGTGACTGCCCAGACAGGTACAAGAGGAGTGTTGTTAACGCTTATGTCGACCGTGCTCTCAGCCACAGCTCAGAATGAAAGAAAGTCGATGAAGAACTCTGTAGGGTAAGGCAGGTCCTAGTCAACAACGGCTTCTCCAATGGTTTCGTTGAAGACATCATAAGAAGGAAGGTGAAACGCCATGCAACCTCTGAAGAGACAACTAACACAACACCTGTACCCCCTATTAGACTATTTTACAGGAACTTCTTTTCCACAGCTCATAAAACGGAGGAAAGGGTCCTGAAAGATATTGTTAATAGAAACGTTATCCCTACAGACAAAAATCAGAAGATACAATTGACGATTTACTATAAAACCAAGAAAACGGCCAACCTACTCATGAAAAACTCTCCAGACACAAAGCAGAACGCTTTGAAAGAGACTAATGTCGTCTATGCCTTTAAATACCCACTTGGGGACTGTAAGCCTCAAAGAACTCAGTATATAGGCAAGACAACAACATCTCTTTCTAGGCGTTTAACGATGCATAAGCAACAGGGCTCCATTAAGGAACATATAATCTCTTCCCACAACCAAACCATCGCCAGAGAATCCTAGTAAACAACACAGAAATCATCGATAGATACAGCGATAGCAGGCGGCTTGACGTTTGCGAGGCACTACACATCAAGAAGTCAACACCAGCAATCAACAGCCAATTATTGCACAACTATATTCTACCCACCTCAAGACTCCGCTCCAATATAGAAGCATCAAGAAATATGGACCAATAGGCTTTCTACAAACACTTCTATTCAATATCCATTGTTTCGTGTTCTGTCTTGTGTTGATGAAATTAATACCCTATTAATACTCTTGTTCTGTCTTGTGTTGATGAAATTAATACCCTATTAATACCACATTTTGTTCTGTCTTGTGTTAATGCCACATCACCTCTTCCACCTCACTCAAATGTAGATATAAAATCGGAGATATGTAAGTTCTATTCAGTTGTGTATTTGTGAACTAAAGTCTTTGAAAATGTAATAAGTTTTACGAAACGCGCCCGTGTCGCGTCAGACTAGAAATAAAAATGAATTTTGGAGAATTGATTTTTGATTTACCTCCAACAGTGAAGCGTAATGTACGAAAGATTGAGAAAATTCGTGTTAGAATTAGTAATCTTACTTTTTCGGTCATATTTAATAATATATGTCTACAGGAAAGACTGCTACCAAAATATATATATATATATATATATATATATATATATATATATATATATATATATATATATATATATATATATATATATATATATATATATATATATATATATATATATATATATATATATATATATATATATATATATGATAATGTACAGGTAGATATTTCTGCGAGTGAGGGGTTCCACACTTTAGGTTTGAAATGACAATATAAAGTGAAAGATATGGTAATATGTGTAAAGCAAATCCAATCTAAAGTCTGTGTGCAGTAGGCGTCATCAGAGAACACCTGTCTCCATCTTCGATAATTTGCCAGAAAATATTTGAAACCTGGGAGATAATTGCAAATTTCTGTTGGAGTTACTGGATAAACCTGTCTGCGAAATCTATGTGCCAATTCAGATTATGAAGACGCCTCATAGATCAGTGATCAACACACGACTTGATAATGGTCAAGGACGGATCAAAATGTATCTCCCTCTTCTAGTGTGTGATTTGGTCATCATATTGACAGTCATTTTATTGTGACTCATCGTCTACATATTGATCAGGCAGTCACCAAGAAAAGTCGGCCAAAGGCTAAGATAGGAAACGATACATCGAAATCGTGAAGGAAATTACACAGGTATTCACTATAACATTATCAAGACGCACTGCAAATCACACATGTTCTTTCGTCTCAAGCACGTTTTCTCATGTCACAATATGTCATCATTGATTAAAAAGTCCATTTGTTGATATAACCCACCATAAGAGATGACCTGGACTTACCAAGATGAAGGTCACCGTAATGGGGAGAGAAGAGACCATCTTGAAAGCTGAGGTTTAAGGACTTAAGCTTGGAAGACACCTACAACCTCTCTAAAGATTCGGGAGCAAGTACCTCTGGTGGTGGAGGTGAATTATTTATATTATATATATATTGAGGTGTCTTGCATATCACATTGATAACAACAGTTGTTATCCCACATTTTTCAGGAGTATTTTCCCAGCTGTAATCTGTAAAAGAGTTAATAACTTTTATAAAAATATATATACTCTATAGAAGCTCCCAAAATATATATATATATATATATATATATATATATATATATATATATATATATATATATATATATATATATATATATATATATATATATATATATATATATATATATATGTCGTACCTAGTAGCCAGAACGCACTTCTCAGCCTACTATGCAAGGCCCGATTTGCCTAATAAGCCAAGTTTTCATGAATTAATTGTTTTTCGACTACCTAACTTACCAAACCTAACCTTACCTAGCTTTTTCGGCTACCTAACCTAACCTAACCTATAAAGATAGGTTAGGTTAGGTTAGGATGGGTTGGTTAGGTTCGGTCATATTTCTACATTAATTTCAACAATATATATATATATATATATATATATATATATATATATATATATATATATATATATATATATATATATATATATATATATATATATATATATATATGTCGTACCTAATAGCCAGAACGCACTTTTCATCCTACTATTCAAGGCCCGATTTGCCTAATAAGCCAAGTTTTCCTGAATTAATATATTTTTTCTAATTTTTTTCTTATGAAATGATAAAGCTACCCATTTCATTATGTATGAGGTCAATTTTTTTTCATTGGAGTTAAAATTAACGTGGATATATGACCGAACCTAACCATCCCTACCTAACCTAACCTAACCTATCTTTATAGGTTAGGTTAGGTTAGGTAGCCGAAAAAGTTAGGTTAGGTTAGGTTAGGTAGGTTAGGTAGCCGAAAAAACATTAATTCATGAAAACTTGGCTTTTTAGGCAAATCTGGCCTTGCATAGTAGGCTGAGAAGTGCGTTCTGGCTACTAGGTACGACATATATATATATATATATATATATATATATATATATATATATATATATATATATATATATATATATATATATATATATATATATATATATATATATATATATATATATATATATATATATATATTGTTACGATAATCTCCTTCAAGAGAGATTGGACCTGCTCTTTCCTATCGTCATGTTACTTCAGTACATCTACAACATCTAGATACTACAAGCAAATGTAGTACATATTTAGTCAAATACGTTTTGCCAAGCGTATACACACACACACACGTATACACACTCGCTCACCACCTCCCCCCTCCCTCGTCGCCGATCACCAAACTAGCATTTCCAGCCTGCCCGATTCTGATTGGTGAATCGACGTTTGCACCACTGCACTTCTGCACCTCAGCGCCATCTACCTAGCCGATGTCTGGGGCTGCACCAGCCATTGGAGTTAGAATATCCTGTGCTCTCAAGCTGAAACAACCATCTGATATTCGCTCTGTCTATTAGTGGATGTTCTCAGCCAGCGCTTTATTCACAGCACCTGTTAATTTCATTTTGTCTTTATCAATTTTAGAGTAACGTCACCACTATATTATTTTATGTTAATTTTTGAATTTATAATCTTGTGAGTTGCACTGTACATTGCCAAGGAATTGTCTTATTCTAAAGTACTCAGGACACACGGAACAAAGTTACTTATGTTGTCCAAGTGTTTAACAAGCTTAAATGTTACATTAATTCCCTTGACACTTAACCATGGCTCATCAAACAAAAACAATTAAGTTTCTTTCTTGGAATATTCGAAGTGTTTATCTTCGGATAAATGACGTAATATTGTATGCTAAAATGAGAGACGTGGATGTGATCTGTTTACAGGAACCATATACGTCAACAACTATCAAGAAGGTCCCACCCAGGATACCTGGGTATATAGCATACAACAACAGTATTGGAACTGGTTTACTAACGTATATTAAGAGTGGATTAATCTGTAAACTAATTAAAAATCACAGGAGTGATAGTATACATTATCAAAAATTCAAATTACAAACTGCAAATAGCCATTTCCTACTGTATAACATATATGGACGATGTAGTGTACTTAAAGCAGACCTGCTACCGACACCTACAGGTAACACAGGTATGTTATGTATGGGTGACTTTAATGCTCGTCACACTGCCTTTGGTGATGTTCAGTGTAACAATAATGGAAGGGTCTTCTTGAAATACCTTAATGATCATAATATTACTGTGTATGATACTGATAAACAGACCCATTTATTGGGGTAGACTGGATTATGTGATTGGATACAGCCTAGTAGATAGCAACGTAAACGTTAAGCTCATCCCAGAACTAGTAAGTGATCATTTTGCAATATATTGTGAATACAATGTGGCGGATATTAGGTCCAGTCTTCATCCTAGAGTTAAAATTAACATTCCAGACAATCTTAAACAGCATTTTAAGGCTTATGTACATAAGTGGTACACTGGGTATACACCTGTATCAGTGGACCACTTTTACAATGATCTTGTCAGTATCATTACCAGTTATTATGATACCTGGGTTAAATCAAGGAAAAAAAAGAACACTCGTTCTTCCTCATGGACAGAGGATCCTATTATTATTGCAGAGCGAGCTAAAGCGCTTCAGCTGCTGACTCTTATAAACGAGACAAAACAGCTGACAATTTACTTGCATTCCTTAATGCCAACAGAGATTTTCGCGAGCTTAAGGGTCAAGTTAAGAACACATATTGGGAACAATTTCTACAAGGTATCAATAGAACTACAACATTATCAGAAATGTGGAACAAAATTAAAAACATTACCAAACCTTCAGCCCCAGTTCAGCTTCATCATACTCCTACAGAATATGCTGACATGCTTCTAGCTCAATGGTCTAGTGTCTCACAAATTTCTTCCTTAACCCCAGATATACAGCAGCATTTAAGACATACCAACATTAACAGAAACTTTAATATTGAAATAGCACGCTCCTCACCAGATTTAACAGATCAGTTTCCTATAACCCCCTTTGAATTAAGATCAGCATTAGGAAAACCTAAGCAAACTGCCCCTGGTGAGGATGGTATAACTTATAACACCTTGAGCTTACTGAATGATGTCCCTAGCCACCCTCTGCTTGACCTCTATCAAATGAGTTTCTCACAAGGTATTTTGCTACAGAAATGGACACAAAGTCTCATAATACCAATTCCTAAACCAAACTCTCAAAAATTCAGACCCATTTCCCTTACATCTTGCATGTGTAAAGTCTTGGAGAGAATTGTTCTCAATCGTGTCATGTTTCAGGTCAAAGAAAAACTGGCCCCAAACCTATATGGGTTCATGCCCAAGTATAGCACACAAACATGCTTTGCTAAATATTTTGTAAACTCTCATGGATGGGACACAGGCAGCCTTTATTGACCTAAAGTCAGCTTTCGATGTAGCGATTGGCGATTAATTCATATATATATATACGATAAAAATGATGCAAACACATAATTGATTATATAATAACCTTAAATACTTCATTTTCAATCATCTATTTGTTTCTCGCTAAAATACTGAGTAAGATATTGAAAAGGGGAGAAGTTCGGTTTTTATTGCATATATCGACGTTTCAGCCGGATTAGAGCGGTTTTACGTGTACATCTTCCATCGTTAATATAATCGGAAAATCAAGAACATTATAGTTAATTCTAATGAAAACACATTGTTTTTTATCATTTGTATTGGAAACAACATTGTCATATGTCTTTTCTTGGATCTAAATAATACGAAACCTCGCTCTATGATTTGAAGGTAAAATCCTCAAATATGGTTATATAGTGACTTTTTTCACGTTTTTCATGTAGTTTGATATTACGTAAATATATTCATTTTTACCAATATTTCGATACTATTTCATGTAGTATCACGATATGTGATTTGGCCTTCAAATCTCAGAATTTCGCATAATATTGCATTTTAAGCAAGTTTTCTTGCATTTTGCTTCGTACGAAAAATCATCGAATATAGCAATATTTTGACGTTTATCATCTCCTTTTCCTTCATGTGATTTAAACAAAATATCATCGAATTAGGCAATATTTTGCCGTTTTCCACGTTTTTGTGAATTTTCCGTCCATGGGTATTAATTCATATATATATACGATAAAAATGATGCAAACACATAATTGATTAGATAATAACCTTAAATACTTCATTTTCAATCATCTATTTGTTTCTCGTTAAAATACTGAGTAAGATATTGAAAAGGGGAGAAGTTCGGTTTTTATTGCATATATCGACGTTTCAGCCGGATTAGAGCGGTTTTACGTGTACATCTTCCATCGTTAATATAAACGGAAAATCAAGAACATTATAGTTAATTCTAATGAAAACACATTGTTTTTTATCATTTGTATTGGAAACAACATTGTCATATGTCTTTTCTTGGATCTAAATAATACGAAACCTCGCTCTATGATTTGAAGTTAAAATCCTCAAATATGGTTATATAGTGACTTTTTTCACGTTTTTCATGTAGTTTGATATTACGTAAATATATTCATTTTTACCAATATTTCGATACTATTTCATGTAGTATCACGATATGTGATTTGGCCTTCAAATCTCAGAATTTCGCATAATATTGCATTTTAAGCAAGTTTTCTTGCATTTTGCTTCGTACGAAAAATCATCGAATATAGCAATATTTTGACGTTTATCATCTCCTTTTCCTTCATGTGATTTAAACAAAATATCATCGAATTAGGCAATATTTTGCCGTTTTCCACGTTTTTGTGAATTTTCCGTCCATGGGTATTAATTCATATATATATACGATAAAAATGATGCAAACACATAATTGATTAGATAATAACCTTAAATACTTCATTTTCAATCATCTATTTGTTTCTCGTTAAAATACTGAGTAAGATATTGAAAAGGGGAGAAGTTCGGTTTTTATTGCATATATCGACGTTTCAGCCGGATTAGAGCGGTTTTACGTGTACATCTTCCATCGTTAATATAAACGGAAAATC